GGGGGGGACAGCACTCAAGAGTCACATCATTTGTAAATTTACAAATTTTAGACAATTCAGAGGTCAACAAAAATTAGATCTGCACCACTGAACAGTTTCTTGCTATATCCGCAAGAAAAAACTAAGAAAAAAAAATTAGGAGCATTGGCAATTTGAAGTTTTAGGATGTTACTATTTTGCAATTTGCGAAAATACAGTTCGCCGGAAATAAGACTAGTGCCTTTTTTCTCATTTTATACATAAGAGAGGAAAATTTAAAGAAAAAAAGAATTGAGAGCCATTTTTAGAAATTATACCATGTTATTAAATCACAATTTTGTTCCATATTAACTTTTCACGTCAGTCATCACTTAAAATTCTTTAAAAATCAGAACAGCATGGGCAAAACCTAATTCTTTTAAAGTTGACGTATCAAATGAAATTAGACAGCTTGACATACAGCTAATAACATCTCCCAACAATTTGAAGGAATCCACAAAATTTCGAACTGTCGTGTCGCGGCGTGGCGTTGCCATTTTTTTCCAGTCTAACATCTCGTGAAGGCTACCAAAGAAGCCGGAGAAATTCGAACTTACTATATAATTATTATTGGGGATTTGCAAGGTTTTTTACTTTTGCGAAAATTTGGTGTTAGGTCGAAAAATGGAACCAGCACCACTTAGGCAAGAAATTTGAATATTTTGAAAAAAAAACAAACATTGGTTAAAAAATTTTATTTCGGGAGAATTAAAATGAAAACGCGACCTACGCCATTGCTTTATGAGTCTTTTGCATCAGCGGGAAAAGGTGCCATTTTTGAGCCTTTCCATTTTTTGCCTATCCATCTATTTCGTACCTTCCACTCGCGGTGAACTCTTCGCTCCAACTCCCACAAAACAGCCGACGAATGCCAAAGAAGTTGAAAAAATATTGAGCGATCACAACGCAGTAAGTTCCCACGGTTCCCTAGCACGATGTTCGTCTTTCCCACACAACCCTAGAACTTTCGTTTACTCGCACCACGGACCTCCACAATAGCGATGAATGCAGAGGCAAAGCGAAATCATTACAAGTATTGTGTTATTAATAAAACTTCAAACAAAATCAAAACGAAATTGTGAAATATGACAATAATATTAGGTGAATACGAAAATAACCTACACGGAATGAATATTCAGAAATATGTACAAATGTAAACAAAACTCGCGCAGAGAAGGTAGAGTAATTCAAGCTTTTTCATATCTAAATACATTTATACTATATTAGATTTTCGAGCTTCTTATACACCCTGGTAAATAATAAGTCAGGCCCAATGGATAATGTAGGGGTGGTGGGTAGCTATCAGAAATGGGCTAAGTTTCCTAGAACTGCATCTGCTAAAACTTAAGTGATCAATTATGTTGCAAGGACGACTCAACGGTATTGGTATTTCACAAATTCATAGGGACATGACCTACAAAATCTATTAGCAAAAATTTTAAAACTAGCTTATATAAAAATGCAAAGCGCAGCACTGTTTTTGCATTTCAAAAATGAACTCAAGTTACATAAAATAAATGATATTTTGATGACCATTTAATGATATGACAATTGGAAAAATTCTGTTTTTATTTTTTCCTTCACGTGTATTTTTGCTGGAAGATGAATGGGAAAGAGGAGAACCTAGCCAAGTAAACAAGTCAAACCCTCTGAGTTAATACCAATCGCCCGTCCTGATACCAATACGTAATCGACGCTGATGTCAGGTGCCTCCATGCTTGTGCCCTGATTAAATAAGGCTCTTATACCAAAAATATTTCCTAAGATTGTATCTCATTCACAACCTAATAAAAAAAAAATACTATTACAAAAAATTGTATGCTCGTAAATATAATTTAGAAATATAAAATAATGTAAAGCAATAAAATGTAGAATAAAAGCTGTGGCGGGGGAAGACTTTACGATAATTTTTTTATGGACTTTAATGAAAAGGGGAATTATCAGAGGGGTACTGCCGCAAACTTTCACAGACTAGCAAACTTTGGCCTAAGTTATTTTTTTGGTATTAAGGACCCAAAGAACATGTGTTTGGAGTAATTTACTGTGCACATAAACAAGATTTATCCAGTCCCGGCAGCAAGACCCGGGAATAAGTTCATCTGTCGAAAATTCGCAGTTTCAGGCACATGATTAATACACATTTTCTTTCGAAGGGTGAGAAAGATAAGTATATCCTTGTGTTATGTGTAAAGACATGTCCTCCATGAACGGTTACTGAAGGTAGCCTTGGGTAACATAATGGCTAATATTTAATCAAAATGATGATTTTATACTAACGTACGTTAACGCTAGCCATTAAACGCTGATTCTATGCCCACTCGCGAAATTAACTTCTTTACGGCAAACCCCGAAATCTCCATTTTCGCGAAGGTCGAATGCGTTTAGAAATGAAAGCCGTTGTGGAAATATTTCATAATATTGTCGAGATTGGAGTAATTTAGAGGGGCATGTTTATGACCACCTTGCAGCACTGCAGTTTCAATCGTGTTGAAGACCAGCCTTAAATCTCCCTTGGAACTAACTGTATGGCGCAAAGGTAGAGGCGCTAGTATCGCCAGGTTCGACGTTGGGAACCGTTCGCAAATATGGCACGATCAAAATTAATCACTGATGGAAATACAAAATAAGAGGGGGATTGAATGTTTGTAATGATAAAATTATATAAAATTGTCTGAGAAAACCTGGCTAAAGTAGCGCAAGCACCAGCGCATTTTCCACCGGGCGGACCTACTTGTGTCCCGCCGCTAGCCCACGCTTCATGTCTCTAAATGTTGGCAGTTTCAACATTAAGTATGAAACTTATCAAATCAATGTACATTTCGGTTTGAAATATTGATAGTGGAAGAGTCATCCCAACGTATATTCTATCTTACGAAAGAACAAATCTTTCCCACAAAATCATAACGAACATTTTATTAATGTGCAGTAAGTTGAGGCCTAGATGTACGATACTTGCCATGTTTCTTTTGCTTACTGGTAATTTACTTATTTTAGCATAGTTTTTCTTTTGATATTTCTGAGTTTCAGATATTAGAGATATTTGTCATCTTAACACAATCGATACCATTTGTTTAATAAATTTCAAGAATTTTAACTAAAATGCATGCAGTATATAAGTTATTAACAGCTTCGCACTGGTATTTATGAACAAAGTTGAAATGCCAGGTTTATAACAATACTATTTTGATGGTTGAGAATATTCTCACATGGCTTCTATTGAGGACAGTGAGGCTACCCCCCACCAAAGTAAACCACTGCTGGTGAATAAATATTGACTGCAAATATGAAGTTTTTTTTGCATTGTTTCAGATAAATATATTCACCACAAATTTTAATTACAAGAATAATAGGCTTACCATTTTTTGAACATTTTTATTCATCATAAAAATCATGTCACTAGTTATGGTTTGTAACAAAATATTCCAATCCAAGACCTAAGATAAAAAAGCCCACTAACTTATCCACTCAGACAAAAAGTAATTCCATTTATAATATTCTTGATTGACACAAATTAATGTTATTTGGTATCCTCATTTACAACCAATTGGACAAAAAAAATTAACAGTCACGTTTATAATCACCAAGTTTTTTAGATTTCCTTAAAAGCTCTCGATTGAAAAATCATTAAAATTTTCTTGAAAACTTGACCGCTTCAAAAAATTGTAATAAACTTCAAATCTGTAGTAATTTGCTAAATACAATTGGGAAGAAAAGTATTAAATGGTAGCAAGATTGACACCTTTGAGTGAATGTATTTAATTCAATATTTTCCAATAAAAAACATAGGTTTGCATACAAATCCAATCCCTAAAACAAATATTCAATACAAATACTCCATAAAAGCTTATTCTATTTTATTACACTGAACATAAATCAAATTATTTTTTTCTAGTTTGTAACCTTTTATCACCTAGGGAACCAAATTGAGTGAAATGTCATTTATGTTAATTTTTTAATATTTTTGTTGATCTAGAAAATCTTCAACTCTTACATTACCACACAATGCTGTCATTTTTACTATTTCAGTATTTTTTTCAAGGCTGTCAGTTAATATCTGGCACCTCTTGGGCAAAGATACTGCATTTTGATAATACACAACTGGCAAATTGCAATACACCTACCACAAAAAAATCTAAATTGTCTTTGTACAAATTAATTTCCTAATTATCAAAGGCTACCCACAGATCTCTTTACAAGTGATGAAAAAAAGCTAAAATCAAAACCCAAAACTCCATAGCCAGGAATGCAATTATTGGCTTTGTATGACATTAAATATGAGAAGTCAACTTTTCTGATTAAAATAAGTGAAACCAATGTCTGAAAAGTCAGGACTTTGTTACACAATCAGGAGCTTCAATTTCAAAAATCAAGAGCCACCAAAGCTCCCCATTAGATGACCATGTCCAAGTCGATAAAATGTCAATTCCACTTACATTTTAACTGGAGAATAGCGATAAATTATAACTAGGTTAAACCAAAATAAAAAGGGTTTTAAAAATATAGAACAAAAGACAGAATTGAACACAAATCAAACAGGGCCAGGGTATTGCAACAATATTTACAGTGAAATTTTCGTATGCTATATACACACAAAATTACTGAACACTACAATGACATGGGTTTCATTATGACAATTGAGACTTTCAAGAATTTACATTAACAACCAAATACTTCTATTTCGAAAATTCACCATGCGATATTTTAAATAATTCAATTTACAATAGAACTATGTACATTACTAATTTATTTGAAAATTCCACACAACACAAGGAGCATGTAAGCACTAAATTAATGGAAACCCCGGATTCTCAATAAACAATTCTTTATATTCCTTTATCCCCGAGAACACTATCGGTAAACAGTAACTTTGTATGATTATTCAACAACGCTGTTACAAAACTTCAATACACAGCTACAAGCCTCAAAAATATTTACATCGCACACTCCCGAAATAATGCTAATGGAGAAGATAGTAATGCGCTTCCCGTATTATTTCCCCTTTCTTTCTTATTTTCTTAGACCTGAAGGTGCCCCAGAATTTCATACCGCATCAACTACGTGCCTATACTCCAAAAAAAAACTACTGAAAATATAAAATATCATCGTACAGGTCGTATATTTGAAGTCCCAAGTAACTCATACATAAAGAACACACACACATATTGATAAAAATAAGATATTACAGAAAAGCTGATGAGCTTCACTTACAGATATCTGTGTAACTTTTCAACGTCGAATCCAGATGATGCTCTCGGAAATAACTCTTAATGTTCTGAATAAGCACTTCTCAAACCTAAGCACAACGTTACCTACACGAAACTAACAAGAACAATGGCGGAAAGCGGCGTCACCACACCGACCGGCATCAATTTGGCGTCAACCGGATGTGCTCCTTCCGGAAATAATACGCTTGCAGTTGAGCAATAAAACTATAATTATACATTTAAATCGTATAACGCTTCTACATACTGGCTCTAATTATCCAAACTAAGCGTTAATATATTAATGATCGAATAAAATATAGGTATGATGTTCGTAATACGTTTTCTAGTCCTTAAGTGGTACATTGGAATACGTCTTGACTTTCGTCAAAAGCTTGAATTTATCAGTGGATTACAAGAGTAATCAAAACATCTTAAGAGTAATTTTTTTTTTGAAAATAGTATTTTTCTGCATTTAAACTTAATTATGAAAAAGTAATGCACATTTGTATCTTCAATTAAGTCTGTAGTGTACAATAAAGGGCCCAATCAAGGCTCCACCACCTTGAAACTGGCGGCGGGAAATCCACTCCCAAATTCAACCCAGAGAAATCTGCGCTTCGAGTGGCTTAGGGACGCGGGATTTCAAACATTGCTCTCCATTACGGAGAAAAATACGAGATGCATTTTTAAAATTTGCAGTTCTGATTTATTTGGGCAAAAAAAGCTTTTTTGAAAATGGTATTTCCGAAATAAAGGATGCTGTTATTAAGTAATTAAATGTATTCATAGTGTAAGCGGAATAAGATAAACAAAACTGCCCTCCTGGGGTTTACATTTTTCAGTGTTGAAAATCATATTTGAACTCTAAAAAAACAAGCTTTTCGACGGATTTAAACCAATTTACCGAGAGTACTTTGTACAAATAAAAATCGTGTTTTTTTAACTTCTTATAAAATTTAATTTTTTTAAATCATATTACGCTGACAAATGTTATTATCCTTGTGATTTTGTATAGATCATAATGTTTTGAGATTTTTCAGTCGTTTATGCCTTATATTGACCCTTACAATGAACAAAAAAGAAGAGGAAAATAGAAAAAATACTTTATTCCTTCGATTTTTTGAGAATATCTCGTGTTCTGAGGCAGTTCACAAAAAGGGGTAAATTCAAATTGTAGTACTGTAAATTCTCTTCAGTTTTCCAAAATTCCAATCTTTTATCTTAAAATTTGCTCAAAATAAATAAAACATAAATATAATAGTTTCTTATTTATTTTCTTAAAATTAAGTTTTGTTTTCATTAATTTTCTTAGTTTTTCTGTTTTATGATTATTAGAAAAGATAAATAATGAAAAACAAAATTGTAAGAATTATATTACAAAAGATTGTAATAATAATAATAATAATAATAATAATAATAATAATAATAATAATAATAATAATAATAATAATATACCATATACTCTACAACAGAATGAGCAGATCATGAAAACATAATAATTTGTGAGATGGCACGCTTTTGGCTTCAATCAGTAGATCATCTCCAAAATCAATGTGAGGTGAAGCAGTTCTTGCTGCAACCCATACACTAATAGGACTGCTCCATTCAAATTAGCAGGAAAAACACCTATTGATCTGTTTTTAAGGAAGGAAATTGGTTCAAACATCTGAAGATTTTTGGATTCGCCCACCAAAACGCAAAATGTTTGATGCAAAGTCTGAAAGAGGATATGCAGTCGGGTATGGCAAATGTGGTTATAGGGTATATTTTCCTGAGAAGCATACGTTGTAGTGTGCCCTGATGACAAGTTCAAGCACGAACTGTTGCAACAGCCTGTGAAGATAGGACCGATCATGCTGATATTGCCACTGATGAGTTTGAAAGTACTTACGAAGATGATAGAGCTCCAGAACAGTGTAACTAGCCCCACCCACATGCCAGTGTGAGTGAAACAAATGCTGTTAGTGATACGAGAGTGCTGAGGAACAGGGAAGTATTTAAGAAGTCAGTACGTTATAGAGACATTTCAACCGAGCGTCAACCACCGAGGATGATGTTGCCGAAGGAATTACCAACAGACTTCAATAAAGCTATGGCGCCTGAGCATTTAGATCAATGGAAAATGCTATGAAGAAATGAAGAATGAAAAATGAAATGAAGGATGACGAAATTGACGCTCATCACAAGAATGGCACCTGTGGCCTAGTCGACTAATCAGTAGGGAGTAAGACAATTGGCAACCCGTGGGTATTTACGACCAAGTTGAACGAGTGTAACGAAATAGTGAGCTATGAGACTAGATTGGTTGCGAAAGGGATTCAACCAACATCCATCCGTAGATTACAGAGATACCTTCTGTCTTTAGGCCAAGCTTGAGACCATGAAAGAACGTCTGGGCATTGTCGTGCAAATAAAATGCTGTCCAATTTGATGAGAAAACAGCCTTTTGAATGGTTCAATAGATGAAGTAAATATTATGAAGTAGACACAAGGTTATGCAGACGAAACAAATTGTGTGTGCAAAATAAACGGTAGCTTACTGAAGCAGGCACCGAAGTGTTTGTATGTCCCTGATTGACTTTATCAAAAAATGTAACTTGAACCAAAGCATGGCAGGGCCCTTTTTGAAGAACATGGTATTTTATTTCATGTAGATGATGGTTTGGTGATAGGTCAGAGGCAGCCAATCAACAATTGCTTCAGACAGCTGCAGGAAAAGTTTAGAATTATAGTCAGTGACGTAAGCTGTTACCTTGAGTTTGAGGTACGGAAGGGTGACAATATAATTTGTCAGACAACGTTCTTATATCGAAAAAGTGTTATCGAGGTATGGCGCGGCTGAAGCAAACCCAATCTCGATGCCAGTTGAGCAAGGATGGTCATCTGGAAAGTCACCACCAGCTGATGATGCGGGTTGATACAGGGATATCATCGGCAGCCTCATGTAACTTGCAGTGAGCACAAGAACAGTTATAACATTTTTTTGTGATGTTGCCTCAAGGGCTCAAGACTCTCCAACTGAGACTAATTTAAAACTGGTTCAGAGAATTCTCAGATACTACCTCAAATGAACCATAAAGTGTGACATTCAATTTTGTGAACCCACAAATGTAGGTATAGTAGCCTATATTGATGCTGGTCATGCAGGGGACGAGGAGACCTGGCGTTCCACAAATGGAATCCTCATAAAGTTCTGTGGGCGACCAGAGATACAGGCGAGCCAACTTCAGAGATTCGTCGTTCTTTCGTCGTCAATGGAAGCTGAATTTGTTGCTGCAAGTGAAACGGGCGGCAAGGGCGGCAACACTGGACGGCAAGCTAAAGGAAATTGGAGCAGGTGAAGAACAATCAGTCCTCATTCTTTACATGCACAACCAAAGAGCGATAAAGTAGTATATCAAGAACACTGATTTTATGAGAAGTCGAAACACATTGAAACTTGCTACTAGTACATACGGCTCCTAGTTAATGAAGGGAAACTGGATATAGAGTATGATCTAGCTGGCAAAGAAGGAGCTGACATGTTCACGAAGGGTTACCTGCTAACAAAATTGTAATGATGAGCATGGTAGGAATGGTGTATAGATTAAAATTTTGATGAATGATCTGTTTGTGAATAAATATGTAATGTGTAGTATAATGGTGTTGATGACATAAATAGGAAGCTTCGGGGAGCTTTCAACAGGGTGTATTACATGTTACTAGATTATGAAAATTGCGGGGTAGCGTTGAGGAACACAATATTCAGTTTCATGGTCGCGCTCTAGCAATCCACTCTAGAAAGTCCTCTTTGTGCCCGCCTTGTGCTGTTCCAGTGAGACCGATGAGATGTGTAGACGTATAGTACTACTAGAGTAAAACAGTATTATTCGCTTTCTTGATACACGAGCTCCCTAGTCCTCACTCAGCGCTGAATAGCACGGCACGTAGAGGTACTTAGGTTCGACTCGGAACGGCACGTACCAATTTACAATGCTAGCAACATCGACCTCGTACTTTCAAATCAATCGTAGCATTCCTTGGCGAGTTAAGTTCGTGTCCACAGTTGGTACGCCCTTTTGAACCGTGACGTAGCCAGAGCCCTCCTCACCCTGCAACCCCCACTGTGAAATATCAAGAGAACTTGCGCGTATAGTGTGATATTGATGATTGTCATAAAAAATTATAGATGTGTATACCAGACCTCAACAATGAGATTCTCAAGATTTCTTTCTTTTGTTTGTCCAGTTAGTGTTAAGAGCACGTGGTACGCGGCAACACCGCCCCCTCCTCACCCAACTAATTTTTCATTCTAATTTTACTCGCACTTTAAATGGATTTATATCCAATTTTCCTACTTTGATTTTATTGACACTTCAGAAAAGTTCCCCTCAAAACAATAAAAATTACCCATTAAAAAAAAGTACATGAAATGGTTTAAATATCTAATATTGAGAAATAAATTGTAGCTTTAATATTTGAAGAATTATCTTTATATATTTAAAGTTTTAATCATTTAACTCAAAATTACGCAAAAATTACATTTCATAGAAAATATCTGAATTTATTTTAAGAAATAATTTTGAAGAACTTATATTACGTAAAATCACTATCTTGAACATTGTGCTTGCAAGAAAAACGTCGAAAAAAATTGAATTTTCGAAACTTTTGAAATTTTAGAGTTGAAAATAGAACATGCACAATTTCTATAAGCTTACTTTTCATTACATTTTTTTATTCTAAAAAGATTGGAGGCATTTTTGAGAAACTCTTGCTTTTGAAATTGCCTACATCTTACCCCAAATCACGCGAAAATACTCAAGTTTTAAAAAAATTGTAATTGACATTTTTAAAGACCAATCCATTCACGAAAAAAATCTCGATCTTAAATATTGTAGTGGAAAGAAGACGACCAAAAAATGTTAAAGATTTGCAATTTTCAACCATTTGCAGAAATTAATTCAGTTCTAACAATTTAAATGAGTTAAGCGCCATTTTCTATCCTTGTTTAATTAATCGGAAGAACAATATTTAATAAAAAATTCAAGCTATTTTTGAGAAACTTTTGAAAATGTTGGAACTTTTGTCGCTAACTTCTTCGACAGTTTTCAAATGAGTTATTTTGTTTTCCTAATGTCTTCTTCGGTTAATTGGGACACTTGTATTGTTGTAATTAATATGTTAGCAGTGTACACAATTATTTACAAAATATTTTTACTCGATCCTTATCAAATAAACTATGGATTATCAGTTTTCGTACCTGAGGTAACCTCAGATCCCAATGATCACGGACACTCACAAGTCTATGTACAAAATAAAATTTGTAAAGGTGCAAAATGTTCCAGTTTTTTGCGCGACACATGCTAATACATATTGCTGATAAATGATAATGATAATAATAATAATAATAATAATAATAATAATAATAGTAATAATATTTATTGAGTCACATATACAATTACAATCGTAATGTTGAACAACAATATAATTACTTCCGTGCACTGAACTTGCCAAAACATCCTTTTTAAAAGGGAGATAATAAGGACCTTGTCGTAAACAATAACAAGAACTTTTCAGGCCTATAATACTTTAAAATGGTTAATTTGACAACAAAATCGTATAGGAAATTTTCTGAAAGGAATGTTATCTACTTTAATTTCGTATAGAACAGAATATTCCGTGGGATTGTTTGTTATGGATACATATGCAAGAAAACTTCGAAAAAACAACTTTAACCTCCCGCCCCCCCAAATACACACTGCAGGATTCTTAGTATTCTAATATGTTATGCATACATACAAAAAATCATGAGATCTTGGCTGACCAGATGACGCCGCGTTGAAAGTTGCGTTGCCGAAGTTCCGACCATCTTCTCTTGGTCTTCTTCGAAGGTGGTCGAAACGTCGGCAACCCAGCCTTCAAAGCGGCGTCACCCGGACAGCCACGATCTCGACCTGGATCTCGACTCTTGCCGCGGAAGCCTACGATTTCTCGAAACAAAAAATCATGCGAAGTTTCAAAACTCGTTTTTTTCCTTTCATCGCTATTTTTTTAGTACAATTTGAATCGTCTATGACACAGAGGAGAAAAAAAAGTTATAAAAATGTAGTCTACTTGCCTATATACCTAATAGAATAGCGTTTCGTTGTGGTTGTGGGTGGAAAACAATGCATACTGCAATACTAATCCGTAGCATTTTCTATAATGCAATTAAATTGCCGCAGTAGACTATCGCCTATGCGCCATCCACAACGGCGGGCGGCATGGGCACCAGTGGGCACGGCTTGTGATCATAAATTTTGTCCCTCCTTCTCTCAAAATTTAACATATATATGCACATTTCATTGAAAAATTTGGAGTCATTCTTGAGAAAATAACGTTTAAACAATTCAGAAAATGAGCAATTTTGAGTTTTCGAGAAACTTCATCAGAAGTAAGTTGAAGAACACGTGTTCACAAAAGGAATAATGTAAAGAAAATTCCCTTAGTGTAAATACTAACGACATGAAAATTACATTTGTGATTTTTTTAAATCAAAAGAAAATAATCAAATGGGTGTTAATTTAATTTTATTCATTGTATTTAACACTATCCATACAAAGAGTTTGAAGGCAAAATTTCGAGCACGTTTTGAAAAAATGTCAAAATAAACTGAATTTGAAAAAAATATCAAGCATTTCTGAAAATTCAGAATTTTGAACTTAATTTTAAAGAAAAATTATGAAGTTTTAGATAAACTTTATAATACACCATCATTTCAAGCACACAAATGAAATAATGTATGCAAAATTCCAGTAATACCAATGTTAATGACGTAAGAGATATTTTAAAAAAGTATGTAATTTTTGAAAAAACAAAGAAATTTAGCAAAGTGGCGTTTATGTCAAGTTATTCAGTGCCTGTGGCACCCATACAAAATTTAAGGGGACCCGGAGGTGCATATTTTGCCCATATTAAAATGAGGATATTTGAGGAACCTTTTTTCAGAAACTATTGAAGGTAGAGCTGTGAAATTATTATAGCATGCACATTAAGTCTTTCTTATCCATTTATCAAAGGGACATTTTAATATTTAGAATAGGTTTTGAGAAATTTTTGTTTTTTATTTTACACTATTTTTTATCCAGAAATTTTTTTAAAAATAATTTTCATTCCTATCAAAATAGTAGAGTGTTTGTTAAAAGCCCATGTTAAAATTAAGAATGAACCACTGGTAATAAGCTGTGAAAGTTTGGTATACCTACCATCCATAGTTTTGGAGAAAACTTGTATATGATTTATGTAACATGGGATATGGCTTCTAAAGTTTCATAACCCCAACAAAAGCTCATATAACCAGCTGTTGGCATTTTGTGGCACTCTATTGGTTCAAATGATCAATTCAACAATGTATTAGTACTTAAGTTACAAGAGCATGTAACCAGGGAGCTATGGTCCATGTTCCAACAATTGCTGCACGCTTGGATTCAACAGGCGAGCGCTATGGTTGGATTTTCATATGCCAATGGAAGAATAGAGTTTATACTGTTCTATTCATCTGAAAGAGAGACAGTATTTTATCTTATGAAATTACCATAACATTTTGGCAACCTGACAGTTGTTTCATCAGTGAATTGACCTGTTTCCCCATATTTTCCTATCACTTAGTTTTGTAGAACCACGTGTTTGTTTCAATTTTTTCAATCTCACCTTCATTCGCTTTTGAATGTTACTTGTGCATTAAAATTTTGTACAGTAACATCTGTTCATTATGGTTTCAATTCCCCCATTCACTTGAACCCTACAGAGCCACCATTATCAAAACAACACACATATCAAACACCATATCTTCAAAGACAAACTATCAAACCACGCCCACAATCGGTGCTTGTATTTATAAAAGTAATGATATCTTAACTTCTAGAGCACATAAACAAAAATTTCAATTGCATTTTGAAGAGCACGAATAAAACTATTTTTTAAAGGAAAAAACAACAACAAAAATCAACATTTTTGAGGGGTGGACCCCTCTGGCTCCCCTTAAAGCAAAAATGTTGAGTTGTTTTGAGAAAATCTTGTTTTTGTTTATTATTGCCCATATTTCACTCAAACTTAGGCAAAACTATTCAAATTTAGACAAAAATGTACAAGTTCACATTTGAAGATATAATTTTAAAGAACAGATTTTATTATCTGAAAAAATCTCTATCTTCAATACTGAAACCGGAAGAAGGTGCAGAGAAAAATTGAACTACTGTAATTATTGAAATTTAAGATATTTTAACAAAACTGAGATCTACACCAGTTTTATAATCATTCTTTAAGAGGAGAAAGTTGAATAAAAAAATTTGGAGCCATTTTTGAGTAAAAATTGAAAACGTCTTTGACACTTAATGAAATATACCTCGCAAAATGAAATATCGGTTGAAAATCCAAGGGGCAGGGATATCAGCCAGATCAACTGAAGAATATCAATTTTGGGAAAAATCCTACTTACGTGTTAGCCGTTAGTGTTGTTCACAGACGTTGTTGCCATCAACCAATTTTTCGGTAACAAAATATGGAGTCTGAGTACAGAACAAGTGAGAGGAAGCAATTTGCTACATTAAAGAACAGGAATTATCCACTTTTTCAGTATTAGGGACCTACAATACAACTGTTTCTATCCCAAAACAGCAGTTTTTCCCTACAGCATTTCTTAGCTTTCCCTATTCTATGTATGGAGTATGGGAGAAAGTAATTTTTATTTTTCGCCATATTTGACAAGGCATTATTGAATTTCATCACATGAAATCTGAAGATACAGTTATTACAAGAATTGAAAATGTGTTTGACCATAAAAAAGTTTTTGAACTATAACAGTAAAAATTGTCCGATGTCTCCTCATTTTAGGGTACCGACATTCAAATCCTGAGTCTATATAAAATTACATAGGCTACTAGTAGTGCATAAATTCGTGACTATGACTGTACACTGTGATATGACCCTATGTAGGTACAAATGTCGATAAACGCAAATACAGGAACATGTGATCCTCCACGGAGCAGGTGAAGCAGCTTCGAGCAGTTGATTGCTGAAAGTTCATAGCCATGGGCATGCCCAAAGGGAGAGGGCAAGAGGGCTATTGCTTGCTTTCAATCTTTTGAAATGGGCCCCTTACTCTTATGAAGTAATACATATAATTCGTTAAATTTTTCCCTTCTTGATTCTGACAGGGAAATTGTTTTATAAGATTCAGAGAAGAGCTATTCCAAGCTATCAGGCAACCATGTAAATGGTTCAACATAAAAACAATTGTATGTTGTTATTGTACCATTAAATTCATCATTCCATTCTCATTAGTATCATTTATTAATGAACTATGAAAACATGATGTAAATAAATAAAAAAGATTCCAAGGAAAAGGGGCCCAGAAATGAAAATGCCCAAACTCCTCTCTCTTTTTAGGTTGCACACACCTATGCTGTTAGTAAAGGCTAAAAAGAAAAGCACTTAAAGCCAAAATCTGCAATATAATTTCACAAACTATTGCATACAAGCCAAGGTGTTACAATGTATTAGAATATGAACACTACCGAGTCTGAGAAATGAATCATTTAAGCAATTTCTACAAGATCAGTACTTCACATGCATGGATATCATACCCTTTCTGCAAAAGAGAAATAATTCATTATCATTCATAATTGTTAACATCATTGTGTTCATTAATTTAACTTCATTCTGTTCAATCTCTCTAATTAGGAAATGTAATTTACTTTTTTTTAATTTATGGCAGATTCAAATTATTAAAATTAATAAATAAAGAAGTCAATGTATATTTTTTCTTAATCATAAGTAGCGTTCCATTAAGGTAAGGTACCATTTTCTAGAATGCTTTCAAAAAATTGTTTTAAACTCTAGACCTAAAAATGTATAATTACAATACAATGCCAACATTTACAATAACTTACATTTCTTATTCACAGAGAAAAAGATACATTTTATCAAAGCAATTACAGCTAATGAAAGAACATTCACATTAATTTGTGTTACCTATTCTGTTATTAAACAGCCACAAAATGGAGCAAAAATGCAGAATGTGGGAAAAAGAAATAACAAAGAGATGAGAAATATAAGGAATAAAAGTGATATTGGAGATTGAGTGCAGAAATAAAATAACTCTTCACTCTCTTGAAGAGAACAAACAAGAAGTAATATGGGAAACATAGAACATCCCAGGAACAATACTCCCATGAGAAGCTCACTTTGCTTGAGCATATGTCTCATGTATAATTTAGAATAGGGATATATAATTGGCAGTTGGAAGATTGCATAAAACTTGCAACATGCATCTCCATGGTCTACAGTGACTTCTATTATCTGGTGTCGATATTTCATGTATAATATTAAAATAGTGCATTGTTACAATCCACCACCTTCATAAATGTCTGGACGCAAACGTTAACAAAATTCTTATAAAAGCAATGAAACCAACATTATTTTAACCCTTATTTCTACTTTTTCTCATCACTAACATATTCATGAGTTAATAATAATTATATTGAATATTTTCATTATTTCTCCAAATGTATTTGAAGATTTTCAATATTGAAAAAGAACTGTTACTGTATTGTCAACTTTTTATTAGTATTCATTAATTGAATATGAGAAGTGTCTGAGAATTTGAAAAAGCAGCAGTATCAACATAAACTGCCACGATGCATTTAGTTTGTATGAAATAACTAATCCCTTGATTCAAAATTATTTCATATCTTTGATTGAAGAAAAAGAATTTTACCAATGTCTGATAGAAAATAGCATATGTTCCATCAATTACTTACATTCTTAGTAGTTGACGTCTCCAAAGATTCTTAATGTTATGTTGTGGCTTTTATATCCTAATGTAACCTGTTCTAAATACAATTAGTGAAATTAAAACATTTAGTTTAGAAAACAAGGAAAAAGAAAATTTTAAGAAGTCTTTCAATCTCAGTGGCAGATTTGGACGGAAATGGGGAGGAAGGTCCCCAAAAATTAATTTTGGATTGTGGGAGGGAAGGGCATGTTCTCTGTAAATTTTTGTAGTTACATTCAATTTATTCAAAACAGTTACTGCTTATTGACTGCATTGTTTTCTTAAGTATGAATACATATTTTTTTTTATTTCATGCTATAAATGTTTTAAACAATTTAATCTGTAAGGGAGGGGTCTTCAAACTAAATTTGCCCTCTTCCCCCCTGAAACACTTTCTGAATCCCCCCTGTTGAAAGTTAGGTACATTTGTTTTTGAGGAAAAATATCCATGCATTTTTGTAAAACAATTCTAATTTATTTTTTCATGGTTTAACAAGGCCTGAGAAAAATCATTGAGCCGTGGGACCATTTCAATGCCCTTCATGTTGTCAATATAACAGTTGCATATATTCGTTATTAATTCGGTTTTACACTGATATAGGAACAGAAAGTGTGTGATTTTCCAGTTAATGTGATACATGTCAATAAATTGAACAAAAGACATTTAATGAAGTAGGATCCATATGTTCAAAAGGAACACTATTATCGATAACATGCTTCATGATATGAAGATGTTTCGTGGATCATGTTTCTCAATTCTTATCTAAGGAAAACCAAAATTATTCTGAGCAGCTTTACTGCAATAATTGACAACATTAACTAGAGCATCACAAGTTGTCATTTCTAGAAAGGAAGCATAATTGGTCAGTAAATTTGGGATGTTTTTTTTAAATAAACGGGTTAAATTGTGAACAGATGAATTTGTTGCATAAATAATTTTAAAACTAAAATTAAACTTTAAAAAATCAATTTGATTAATTTTCTTTTACTTGGCTTCTCCACTTGCACCTTTTTCAAATTCCTATAGAGGATTATTAAAATAATTTACAAGATAAGAATAACAGCATATAGAAAAAGAATGTATTTTGTAAATAAGGCCTTCTGCATGAAGATGTTTCCTTGAAAATTAAACTGTAAAAATAGGAAACTTCTTCAGTGATAGAGTTGATGACCAAAATTTCAAACATACTTGGTCATAGATTAAATTATTTTTTCAGACATCAATATTTTTACTCCCACAGTGAGTTAAAGTGAATTCCAAGAATAACATTAAATTTGTTTTTCTTTCTTTTGATTTTTGTTCTCTCTTCTAATAACTTACATGGGAAGTCAAAAAGTAAAGACACATTTTATTTACTCAATTTCACTGGTTGGCAGCAATGACTGTTCCATGACATAAACTAAACTCTAAGATTCTGAATGGGCTATGTACACCCTGTTGTTCTAGTGCTCCAAGAAAGAAGTAAGGGGAGTAATAGTTTTCTGCACTCTGAAGGGTCTATGCCCGGAGAGATTATTCACAGAATGCAGCAATAATATGGCGAGAGTGTGTCATGGCAAATGAAACTGTGCATGGTCATTGGATTCTGCAGTTCCAATCATCACAAGATGAAGAAAACTTTCAAAACGTTTTTATTTTCCTTCAGAACAATGTTTGACCTCACACTGCAAAGTAAACAAGTGAATATAAGATCTTGTTTCCCTCTGGAATCTTTACTTAGCTCCAAGTGAAATTCACCTGAATGATTTCATGAAGGATCACCTGCACGAATCCAAACTTTCATAAGATGACAAGATTTTGGAGGCAGTGCCTGAGTGTCTGCACATTATATCACAAAGCTTCTTCTAGAATGGAATGAAGTAGCTTCTTAAGAAACGGACCAAGAACTTAAATGTTGAGGGATATTATGTCTAGAAATGATTTTACAAGAATATTCTTTCTTTCACAATAAAACATTCGTTTAAGAAGAAATTGCCTTTACTTTTTGACTTACCTACGTATTAATTTCTTACCAAATTTTTGAAATATGAAGTTATTCTTATTAAAAGGAAAATGTTTAAAAATGGAAAAGTGCTAAAGTTATGCATATGCCTGAGCATTGCCTGCAGGGAGAAAAGGTTAACATTAAAAAACCATACAAAAAAGTCTTTTTCAAATCTGATTCTATTTTGAAATGTTGAGGCAGAAATCAATTTTCTGCAAGTAAGGAAAATAGAAACTCAAGAATTGAGACTCAATAGAGACATTGCAATCTGTCTTCCATGGCTTAACTTTCTAAATGGAAATTCTGTTAGAGTAATATAGTGAAGCTGACACAGAGACTAAAACACAAGTGCAGTTTCCCTATGGCTGTAGAACATCACTCCAACCACTGAGAGCAATATGACTTTTTCACTTAGAAGCATTTTTATGTGCTGTGATTGATCACTGTTCTTGTGCGTTATCAATATTGTATTATATTTCAAATTTTTTGATACACATGCTTTGAGTACATATAAACTTTTATGGTGTTCAAGAAGATTTTAACTGCAGGTTGTTAAAATTTGAGATTACCCCATCAGTAAATTCCTGTCTTAGTGCTGTTGTCTACCAGTCTGATTTTGTCATGCCACACAACTATGCATATCATATTTCATTAAAAAAGTGGAACATGTCAGTGATTATATCAATAAATATGAAAATATATCATTGTACATTTAGAAGAACAAAGGTAGTGGGAATTAAACGTACTGACATTGTAAAACATATAGTTTGAGTGAACTTCCCATGGATGATAAGGAGAAAGGGGTTGTAAGCAAAATATGGCTTTCTGCTTTTATCTGCAATGTCATTTCTGATATATGAATTTAAATATTTACCCTATTCATATTCTGAAACATTGCTTAGTTACAAGAAAAAGTAATTTTAATTGAAAGTTACTGAGACAAAGACATCATCACATTGAATTACTGGGTGATGCTTATAGATCCCCATCAACCCAGTGATACCCTCAACAGTCATGGGATCGAAAATAAATTAAGCAATTATCAGTGATGCAACCAGAAAGGTCGGGGTGGAAGCCCAGGCTTCCTGGGGCTTTAGCTCCTCCTGCCTGAAGCCAATACAACATATTCACAATTATAGATTGTAGTATTTACTGTAGTAGGTAAATAAAGTCATTCAAAATCTCAAATGATTATGTGATAAAGACTATAAATCAACAAAATCAAATAAATTTTAAATTCAATGTAAATGAAAAAGTCTTTACATAAACATAAAAGATGAACACTGCATCAACAGACCCTTCTCCCCCCTCAAAAGAGAGTCTAGGTTGCAACACTGGCAATAATATATGAGTTACTACATAAAACATGAAATATTCGTTAGTTATATGCTTTAATCAACTTCACAGTGAATCAGTCCAATTTTAAAGCTACTTAAGTTATTGCTCTGGTAAATGGGAAATTAGTTAACCATGGCAGATCTAGGGACAATAGAAATGTTCATCTGCCAGTGACAGTTAAACACAAATTTTAATAATACACAATACTTCAAGTTTGACAACATAATTTTGTTACTTTCTTTGAATATCATTAAAATTATTAAAATAGAGGCATATTCCTTAAATAATTAATAAACAATATTTTCTTATTTGTTAAGCAATCAAATGCTTATTTGACAAATGCGGTTTCTATTAGGTTGGACTGTAATTAGTGCAAATTCAGCTATTCTGCCACCTCTCATCCCTCCTCATTCTTTGGCCTACTCTTCATCTGCTACTATATGCTAAAGTAAACATTTTAATAATTTCATATGTCAGTCTTAAAGCATAATCAGCCACTAGCCTCTTCTTAAAAAATGTACATCCAGCTAATAAATTCCTTTCAATTGAATTATTCTTTAACAGGCATTTGTAATAAAATGTTGGACCTTTGAATTTGAACTAGCTAAAAATATATGAAAATTAGTTTGTGCAATAGATTGTTTGCTTCATCTAGTTCACATTTACATTGACAATAACCAATAACAACCAGAAGCCAATTCCTACCGAATTGCAAAATCTTCCTGCAAAAGTTTCACGAATCAGAGACCCATAATTGCTGCATTAAAGATAATATGTTGATGGGTCTATCAATGCTAAAAATATTATGTGGATCTACTGAAATATTTTCTGGGTGGCTCAAATGTTATGTCACTGCTTGAAATTTTGACTTATTAAAATATTAGCCCACTTACTTTCAAACAGAAAAAAAAGAAAAGAAAAGATTGAAAACTGTTTTACAAAAACGATATAATTCTGTATTTAAATGGAACAAATTTTGTTTGTGACTGTCTTGTAACAATGTTTATAACTAAATCAACAAAACCTCTTTCATGAAAACTTAAGCAGATTCAGTTCAGGAATGATTATAATATATTGTTTAGTCAATATAAACTGAACTAATGTCTCATTGATATGCACAAAATCTGTAGACCGAAAATAGATTGTATGCACTTTTAAGCCCTGCTATGACAATTGATTTTCTCTTCATGTATCAGCAATCTCTTTGAAAATTTCTGTACTGATGTTAGGTATTTTGCTGGGCGAGGAGCACGCGCCACAGCAGCCTTCTTCCTCTGGAGATGGGTCTGGGGTGAACGAAGGGATGGCTCTGAAAAAGAACAACATACAAATATATGTTTATTGCACTAAGATTAAATGAAATTTTTTTCCTATAGCGTTTTTCCAGCCAACAGCAAGTTACCCTTTGTGTCCTGAATGGGACAAATATTCGACCATACACTAGACACTTGCAGCCTCCTTTGATCTGGGGTCAGCAGAATGTGAGGTCCTACACAGCAACACATACAGGAGAGACAAGGGATAAATCACCATGCCCAAGATGGGACTCGAACCCATGACCTTTTGGACTGAAGTGCTGAGTCGGTACATGCTCTTAACCACCTTGGCCATCCAGATCTGCTGAAAATATTCTTAACTGATATAATTCTCTTTATAACCCTACAGGTGTTAAAGAATATAATTTTCAAAGTTTTAGAGCACCTAGAGTAGTCAAAAATCCACACTTTTGGCCGATAAACAAAGATGAGAAATTTTATGTAATGGAGTTACACATGTGTGCTTTTTCCTTGATTTTTAGGCAACATTTTATGTGCAGATGTTCAGAAGGTCATATCCAGGTGCCTTCAAGGAGGTTTCATAGATGTCAAATGAGTGTGCATAAGGAGTGGCCCAACAAGCAGGGTCAAATGTCAATGTATATATACGCAGAGAACTCCGTGTTATCTGGCCCATGTTAATCAGGCCTTAACGGCCCACACTGAGGGCCCCCAATGTACAAGGTCTTATAAAAAATTTGTGTAATACTAAATTTTTAAAAACATAAAAAGTGGTGTATGATTAATATGCAAAAAATGGAATAATGGAAAATTGCCATAATGGAGTGATGTGTCAAACATCATTGGATAGTATTCAGTTTTTTAACAAAATTTATTTGTAAATAGGGGAGGGGGAAGCAGATCGCTGAAAGAAAGAATAGGGGGCCCTCAAATTAACATGGTCCCAAGGGCACCCAAAGGTTTTAAAACAACCCTGTGCGTTATGCATCTTCTCCTCACAAGTTCATTGCCAAAAAATGAATATTTTTGACCCTTCTACATACACTTTGTCAAGAGACGGTCAACTTAGACTCCATTATGTCATCACATGGACATATTGAAGTTCAAAAACACTTGCTTTGTAAACAAATAATTTAAAATATAGAAATAAAAAAAATGAGAGACAGTATGAAAAATTATAAAATACAGTTCGAGAATTTAATTCCTACTGTAATGTAAAATGATTAAAACATATATGTAAAATATGTTTTCAATTTTATGAATTTTATGTCATTATTATAAATAAGTTGAAAAATATAATAATAGTTATAAAATAAATATTTGGACCCTAGAGACATGTCAATGAGGTCCTATACTGAAGCAGGCGTATTGTGCCTGAGTAAAAACATTAAGTATTAAAAAAATTGAAAGAAAATAACAGTTATAATTATCAATTAACAAAATGTAAGACGTATATCCATATAATTTAATTACACAGAATATCAAAGAGTTAATTGAACTATACTGTACTACACAGAATGCAAAATTCTTCAAATTTGTGCTCACCTGTACTGCGTGGAGGTTGACCTGAACTCTTCAAATGTAATATATGTTGCAGAAACGTATTTACTGATTGTTATTAAGAAACCATACACAGTGGAAGATTTCCCTTTCGGAGATTCAGAAACCAGGTTTGAACGACCAAGGGTACTCCATATCGATTTAATTGATTGATTAGAGATTTCGGGCACACGTCAACTGCTACTGTCATTGGTTCCCTTCGTCTAGTGCATAGTTTTTCTTCAGGAGGTGGTGGTGGCCTTGGCCCACTGGTTGAAGAGATCCGGTGCCGACCTATCGTCGGCTAGCGGGGTTTTCCCTAACCAGGTATCTCCCACCAGCGGGACTCCGCCCTAGCCGGGCGAAGCTCTAAGCTCCCGACCGGTCTACCATTTGTGGTAGTGTAGTGTAAATGTAAGGGACGGGTGAGGAGAGGACACCAAAAAAGGAAGGAAAGATCGCGCGCGGTCAGAGCCCGTTTGTTAAGGCACTACTCCGGTATTCACCCGGTGTTCACCGGAGAAGCCAAGGAAAACTACCGATCAGAGCAACCGGGTTTTGTATGTGTTGTGCATGATGCGAGTACATGGCAGTTTTCCTCCCCCGGCACGTGAAGTCAAGCACACTTACACGTCGGTTTGCAGGTTTCCCCTTCCAGGTCTCTCCCCCAGCCGGGACAATCTCTTTATTCCTGACATGTGGGATAGTATAATGCATGGAGAGGAGAATTCTAGCGGCCGGCTTCTCTGATCGGTAGTTTTTCGTGGATTCTCCGAACGCCGGTGCGCTACCCGAACAAACGAGCCACTGACCGCGCGCGATCTTTCCTTCCTTGTCCTATCCTTGTCCCATGTCACTCACACACACACACACACACACACACACAACATGAACTACACTACCACACATGCTGGAAGACCAGTCGGGAGCTTAGAGCTTGTCCCGATTGGAGCGGTGCCCCACTGGTGGGAGATACCTTGTTCATCGTTTAGGTCGGCTTCCCAACTCACCATCCACACACGACAGTCCGAAGTCTCCTCCCGTAATAAAAGCACGCACTACACTTACGGGTCATTTGGCCATTGCAGTTGATGGGAGCGGAATATCAATGAATCAATCATAAGGAAATTGTTAGATGGTAACCTCATAGCTGTATTAACTCTCTTAGATTTTAGTTCAAACGTACTACTCTATACATTATGACCCCCTGTTACCAAAATTCTTCCTACTCTAATGTTCTCTTCATCAATAAGAGTTTCTCTGTAGAAAATTCGCCATTTTTACTAGCCCGCACTTACTTTGTAAGACGAGAATGTCATGTGATCTTGCGCCGGAAAACGACGAATTTTCGGCAGAAAAACTCTCACTGCTGAGCCCTAGTTATGAAAAAGTGAATAAATCCAGTTGCTAAATATTGAAAACAAAAAATTCCTTTAACACGTCTTGCCCTTGACACCGAAAAATCGATTGACGGCAAAACGTCCATCCGGCTGTCTATCTGTGAACAACGTTGACGTCTAAATCAGGCAGGTTAAGATCGCGGGCAAAATAAAAAAAAATTATTAGAGCTCGGGGGCCATGCGTCTAGTGAAATTGGCGCGAGATTTAAAAGTAAGGATTATACAATGCCGAGTGGCAGTACGGCTCTGGATACCTGGCCATGGCAGTCTTTGGGAAAAGTTATTTGACAGTTATTGTTACAAATTTAGCTATATTAATTCCCGTTTTCCCTTTAACGCAAAGAAATGATGCATTAAATTGAAATAATACATCAATCCAATTTCAAATTCTCAATTGAGAGTAAAATTTAAAAAATGGAATCAAAAATTCCTTGATGTTATAATCTTGTTTACTTGAGAGTTAAACAATAGCATGAATTTTCTACGTTCTGGTTAAGAGATTTAGCAGACAAATGTTCTTGTCGATTAAAACCACTGTCCATCCGTAAGCGAGAAATGTTAATTTACAGAGCCTTGCTAATTTATTTCACATTGTAGTTAAATACAATAAATAGTTGAATGATTTAATAACACAATAAAAAAGGAAAACAAGGAAAGAATGTTTATACAAGGAAGAAACCAATAATAAAATTAACATGTCCATAAATAAATAAGTACGTAGTAATAAGTAGTGAAGAATATAAACATAATACAATTATCGGTTATTGGAAAAAAACTGGCAAATAATTTCGTATTTCGTATGAACATAGTTTTCAATTCGCCGCCTCGCGCCGCTTCAGCTTGCGCATGTACACCCCTTTCTGGATTTTAAGGGGAAATAAGCGCGGAGTGAGGGGAAGTTGCCTGCACACTGCTAAGACCGCCGGGCACCCAACGCGGGCAAGCAGCTCATGCGAGCGCGGTTTGTCGTGGCTGGTCTAACTGTTCAGTCGGTTTTCTCCAAAACTTATATTCCATATCGATCTGCCTCATGTCGCGATCCCTTTAATTTTAAAGCGATATTTTAATTTTGGAAGGTACGTTATACAAAGCTCCTGGGGCATTTTCAAAATTTTAAAAAATTTCTTTGCAAACTTTTTGCTTATATTTTGTTGTTGGATAGTGTGAAGGCGAGACGCGTAGGCTTACATTTACATTTAATTTCAATATTGTCATTAAGTGATAGAGGTTATACATTGTTCTCTTTAACATAGACAAGTAGGTCCAAAGACTTCTCGGTTTCTCCTTCTCTGACTTACCAGAAAAGCAAGCAATCGAAACTTTTTGCGATATGGAATGAAATTGTTTCAACACCAATATTTAAAAATTTAATACTCACGCTCGT